AAAAAAAAAAAAAAAAAAAAAAAAAAAAATCAGATCCAACAAGACAGCTTGCACCTATGACCAGAGAGTACTGAGTCAAGTGGGGAAGGAGGGTGGGAACAATACCAGTCTGGGCTTCAAAGAAGCTTTAGTACTACAAGTACTAAAGCTACTTTAGTTTTCTGAGCTGATATTACATAATGAGAAAATTTTCTTTTCCCTCAAGACAGTGTCTCTTTATGTAGCCCTAGCCAGCCTAGAGCTCATTATATAGATCAGACTAGCCTTGAACTCATAGATCTCCTGCCTCTGCCCTGTGAGTGCTGGGATTAAAGCTATTGTCTTAGTTAGGGTTTCTATTGCTGTGAAGAGACACAATGACCACAGCAACTCTTATAAAGGAAAACATTTAACAGGGGCTGACTTATAGTTCAGATGTTTAGTCTATTGTCATCATGGAGGGAAGCATGTGGCATGCAGGCAGACATGGTGCTGGAGAGGTAGCTGAGAGTTCTACTTCTGGATCCACAGGCAGCAAGAAGTGACCATGACACACTGGCCTGGATGGAGCTTCTGAGACCTTAAGCCCATCCCTTAGTGACACAAACAAACCCACACCTACTCCAACAAGGCCACACCTCCCTAATAGTGCCACTCCCTATGGGTCTATGGAGGCCATTTTTATTCAAATCACCACAGCTATGTACCACCATATCTGACCAAATTGGAATTTTTTTCAAGATTTATTGTGGTGTGTGTGTGTGTGTGTATGTGTGTGTGCGCGCACGTGCTCACACACTCGCACACGCACGCGCAGATGGGCTCGTGCATGCAGCTGGAGTTACAGGTAATTCTGAGCTGCTTGACTTGGGTTGTTGGATCTGAACCCAGGTCTTCTAGCAGAGCAGGTGTGTTCTTGACCACTGAACTATCTCTCTAGCCCCAACGAGAATTTCCAAAGAGAGAGAGAAAGAAAATGAAGACATCTATTTCCCCAGAAACATCTAGAACAGTAAGGGTTTAACTAGTAAGAGGGAATAAGACAGTAAAACTAGTGCTGCAAACCCTTGGCCTCTTTGATCATATATATGTTTGCTCAACTTCTAAGCACTGCAAGAGCTGTGCACGCCTTCTGAGGAGTTAGAAAAAAACATGTCCAGCCAGGGAGTAGCTTGGTAGTGGGAATGACCAGCATATGTGAGAGTTTGAGTTGATACCAAAGACCAAAAATAAGTAATGGTTTTTCTTTTTTGTAATACGCTTTTTAAGTATCAGTAGGTATCGCAGGCTAGCCTAAATAAACAATCCTCTTTCCCTAGCCTCTGGAGTAGTGGGATTCCACAACAGAAAAAATAACTGAGGAAAATGAAACATCTCCAACTGCAATGAGTCATGAAGCTCAAGTTGATTATTCATTTTTAAAGGTTCATCTGTTTGTTTGTTTGTTTGTTCGTGAGGGGCATTTTACACAGCATCCAAAGAGGCAAGAAGGGTACCAACCCCTGGGTCCTCTGCAAGGGTAGCAGGCACTATTAAGCACTGAGATCTCTCCAGCCCCTCAAGTTGACCCTTTAAAAATGATTTTTTTCTTTTTCTCTTTTTCCTGTTTTGGTTTTTCGAAACGGGTTTCTCTGCGTAGCTTTGGAGCCTGTCCTGGAACTCACTCTGTAGACCAGGCTGATCTCAAACTCACAGAGATCTGCCTGCCTCTGCCTCTCAAGTGCTGGGATTACAGGCATGTGCCACCAACGCCCAGCCTTAAAAAATGATTTTTTTTGAAATTTAATTAATCTTTGTTCTTGCTAGATAACAAGATTTTCAGACAAAGAGAATAACCACAGGTCCTTGTAAAAGTCAGCCCACTCTTCACCAATCACATAAAACTTGGCAGTGTTCACAGGGTAGAGAAAGATGGTAAATACACAGCATTCTTCAACTTTTGGTTGTCTGATGATTTTGTTAATTTGTAAAAGTTTACTGACTTTTTTTCTAAAACAAGTCTCATGTAGCCCAGACAGGCTTTGAACTGGGTAGCCAAGGATGGCCTTGAACTCCTGACCTCCCCCACCCCCCCACCTCTACACTGGCTTGCTTACAAGTGTGCAGGACCGCCCCAGTCCATGAAGTGCTGATTTAGCTAGTCAGGCAATGGTCTAGTTCACCAACTGAGCTACGCCCCCCCCCCCAGCCACTCCATTTAACACCAAAAGCTGATTAATTTGAACTTCATGATTCTAAGAGGCCCCAAGCCCTTCTCAGACAATACCCACAGTGGCCCCTGGAGTTCTGCAGCACAGAACCAGGTGGGTGTCAAACATGGATTAATTAGGATGCCAGTCTTTATTTTATTTTATTCTAAACTGTATTTTTTATTGTTGTATATGATGTATGTGGAGGTCAGAAGTGTTGGTTCTCTTCTTCCACCATAAGCCCCAGATCAGGTCCTCAAACTTACCCCACAAACATGGCCCTGGCCCCACACCTGAGAACTGTGTGGAGCCAGTCTCTTCTAACTCTGTGTCTTCTGGGGATGGCACTCAGATCGACAGGCCTATATAAGAAGCACCTCTAGCCCAGGGATGGTGGCACATGCCTTTAATCCCAGCATGAAGGAGGCAGAGACAGGCAGATCTCTGAATTCTCGACCAGCCTGGTCTACAGAGTGAGTTCCAAGACAGCCAGGGCTACAGAGAGAGACCCTTGTCTCAAAAAAACCAAAAGAAAAAAGAAGAAAAGGAAAGAAGCAACTTTACAGCTGAGTCATGTCGCTGGCCTGCACCAGGAAATCTGAGCTCAGGAAACTACCTTTTACACAAGCCTTCCAGGTTACTCCAATGCAGCCAGCTCAGCAACGACCTATGGCTGGCAGTACTGTATTTCAGGTCACCCTGGAGACATACCCACAAGGTGGTATCTTCTATCATTCCCATTTTACTGATGAGTAAATTGAGGGGTTGCAGAAATTAAGGCCCCACGGTTAGAAAGAGCAGAGCAAACACAATGTAGCCTGGCTACAGAGCCTGTGCCAGTGACAATCCAGCAGTACAGGTGTGACCATCACAGACTAATCAAGCCACTGGGAGGCAGTAAACCAACCAAGAAGTTCAGTGGGGACTGAACCAAACCTAAGAACTGGTTCTAGTCATATTACCCAGCCTTTTCGGCTGAAGCACTCACCGTCTGAAGAAATGCAGGAAGTGCTTTCGCAGGAACACTTCTGTGGAAGGACCTTGCCTTAAAAGAAGATGAAAAAAAAAAGAAAAAAAAGAAAAAAAAAACTGGTTGGAATGCATCTGCAAAGTCTCCCTGTGAGGGTAAGCACAAAGCAGCTGCACAGTTCAAAGATACCACAAAAGCAAGAAAACAGCTCACCTCCTGCTGCCAGCTTAGCTTCAAAGCAGCATGGACTCGGCAAAATCAGCTCTGTGTATAAAACCTCTTCCTTTTAGGGGTGGCTGGGAGATTTCCAACTCCCTGACATCTCCCACTAACTCTGACCCTCGGCCCTGAGCTAACACTTCCTAGCCTAGCCCCCTGTTTAGATCTAGCACAGATAACCCTCTCAGGTAGTCTCCTGCCTCTGCTCTAGATCACTCAACACTGATGAGTTCATATTGTTACATCATTACTTCACCTTGATCAGGTATCAGCTATTCTTCCTGAACTCAAATGCCTCTGTATTTAACCCCTAGTCTCAATTCAACCTGACTCTTCCAGGCTGTGGACACCTGGTCCACTTAGGCCAATGCCATCAACCTGCACTGGCCAGACCTTGCCTTGTTTCCTGGTCTTCAGCCACATTGTTTCTTATATCCTGCCTCTACTTCCTGACTGCACACTACGGTTTTAGGCTCCGAGATGACCCACGGTTTTCTATACCATGGTCACCTTTCTCTTTGCAGCATGGGACGTGATCCTCCTTTCTTCTCTGCTCTCAGATGCAGACCCCCAGCTCTCCTGTCCGCCATTTGCCTTCTTCCTAATGACCCTGCTTCCTTCTACCTGATGAATGGATGAGGCCACAGGGCTCTGTCCCTCATCCTCATCTAGAGACACACTCTCCTTGAGCAGACTTAAGCTGTGACAGTAAGCTCTCACGTGGTGACTCCAATTCTGACCTTCCCAAGACACAATCATGCATTCTCCAGTAGTCCATCTCCCTAAATGTCACTGCCCTCAAATCCAACTATAGCCAGGACACTGCTATCTAGCAGCTCTGACTGGCACTGGTGTGGTTAATGTGTGAACTCCCTGAACAGCCTTTGACTCGCTCTCCTCACCATCTTGTCATAGTCAGTTATCAAGTTTCATTGTGGGTGTGGGTATACATACACACACATGCATATCTCTCTAGAAACCCCTTATCCTTCTCCTAAGTAAATCGAACTGTGGAAAGCACAGCCATGTCAAGCCCCACTGACACTACCACCATCACCTCAGACCCATGGCAATGGCAAAGCCTTCCACTGGTCTGTGTGAATATAGACATATTGTGTGGAATATTGAAGGGACCAGCCCCCCATTTCCGCAGCCATGACAGTAACACGTGCTCTATGACCTTGTCTTAGTTACTAGAGGTTAGGTGCCTGCCTCGTGACAAGGAACCAATCAGAAGTTAGCTGGTGGCGCTATGCTTTACCACCCTAGGTGTACTTTACGGACAAGCACACAGCAATGACGCACAGAGCATAGTAACCACCCTGGGAGGGCCTATGGGCCATAACAACCAGTTGACCAATCAACACAGGGCAAACCCTCCAAGCCTGGAGGCACACCAATTGTGAGCCTGTGCGTACCCCTAGACACTCCCCTTACGCTGCCCTACAAGATCTCTCAGGAGC